TGCTGTTCTCCTTGGATGAAATATATCGTTGCAGTAGGTTTGATATTTTTCAGCTTCTTGCAAAGAGTGAAATGGAGACTTTCTAGCAGTTAAAGCTGATCTCAATACTTAGGGTTTTCCTGGATGATAAACATCACGAATTTCGAAACTATTGTGTAGTATGCTATGCTGGATCTGCTGGAAGTGATGTTCCCATGGGTGGCTATAGTGCGACCACTGACTGACAGATCGCTTTCATGATTTGCTACCTCAACTCGGTAATAAAATCTTCTGATAACTCCGAATGATGGACGGTATCGTTCAACCCTCAAGTTAATCCTCGAATTGTCGACAGCGTTTGCCCACTATGACAGGACGTCCCACACCATCGCCAGTTTAACTCTCAGGGCGGTCATGTCAGGCCCCACGAGTTTAGCACCACGTGATGAACAATAGCCACCTCTTAACCATTGGTTCGATCGATCGGATTGTCCCACCCTGACTGCAGCAAATGGGAAAGTACTTGTGATGAACGCAGATTGACTTCAGCGCTTTAATAACATGTACAAAGAAGCCATTCTAGTGTTGACTATATATGGCTTTTGTAGGTAAAGGCGCTTGTACATCATCGAGCAAATATTTAACTTCTCTGATCAGATTGTTGTATGTCTCATAACGGCTAAACTGCAGTCTACTGTAGGGATGGGTATTCTCATGGTTGGCTTTTAGACCACTGCTTAAAGGTTATTGTGGAACCCTGATATGCGTACCTGAAGAAGGAAATGACGAGGGAAGAGGTGAAAGACGAAAGGAACCTTTGAGATGTGGCTAATATGCAACAGCATTTATCATCAGAACTGATGGCATTGCGCTGGTCCCTGTAACGAGCACATCAGTCATTATCATCGTATTTTTAAAACCATAGTATATGACCTGATGATCCCTAAAGCGCACATATTCCCACGTACTGTCGTAGAGGATGAACATTACTTTACTTTGCTTGGCGAACAGGAGCAATAGCCTGTTAATCGTCGATGTCTGTAAGAGCAGGGAGTGGTCAATATTTTGCACAAAGCCGAGAGAATTGACCCGATTCGTTATCTTCATCAGCAGTTTTGTAAAGAAACAATTTTAAAAGTAAATCTGCTCCTGCATGAGTCATAATGTGCTAAATATGTCAGCCAGTTAAACTCTCAAGTTAATAACATTAAAGCAGCTCCGTCTTTTCCTGTCGAGTGCTGAGGAGTGTGAGGAAAGGCGAAGAAGGAGAGTTGAAAAGTGTCTCCTTTAAACTCAGCCCCTGCGCTTCATGGCATTCTGGAGCGTTATAGCAGCTCGGTTATCGCCCGAATTAGCAAGTGCTGCGTAGACTTTTGAGGAATTGAGGCCAAACATGAACAGTTAAACTAAATTTAAAAAATAAAACATGACAAGAGATCAGAAAAAAAGGAATCTTTCCGGAAGCTGATTGGTCCTTTAGTGGAAGAAACTACGCGTGAATATTTTCCACCCTTTGCAGAACAAGATATAATAAAAAGGCGGTCGTACTTTGGTAGATGCCAGTAAAACCAACGTTAATCCCTAAGAGCGCTTAACATTGCAGAAATAGCAGAGAAGCTTTTGATGTGAAAGTGAAAGTTCACTAATTGAACAAGATCACCAAGTATCTGATTTTTCAGTGCAGATTAAAGAAAATATATATCCTTGTGAACTTCATAATAAATATGCAAATGGTGGTGAGAAAAAGCAAATATGAAATTATGGAGAGAGAGAAAAAAAACCATGAAGAACACTGCTACAGCGCATTTGCTACGCAACGGCAATAAAGTAACATAAAGAAAGTTGCTTTTGAGGTAACAAATTTGTCATTAGCTTGAGCCATGGAATTTTCGAGCGCGAAGCCTACCTCTATGAGGGAGGAGCATTTCGGTGACATTGAGGTAACATTCCAGACGTCCCATGTGAATTCCAGCGGAAAATGGCCCTTCGTTGGTAGGTGTTGAAATCCGAAGCTCTACTGTACAGATAGACGAACTAATGGAGGAATTCTGTATTGTATCTGATGTTTTATGCGGCATAGATATGTTTTTAATTGTTCAATAAACGTTCCGCGATGTCTCCACGTTGTCGAACATTGAACAGGGCCATCGCACTTGGCAGCCACCGGTGATACAATGCATTTGCAAGTGTGTCACTTTGTTTTCAGATTCAGGTTGCGCAACGGAGTCACTGTCAAGGCCACTGTATCAATGTACCACTGACCAGTGCTTGTCTCTCAGCATCTGCCAGTTTGTGACTCACTCTATGCTGTGCGCTTGTTTGCTCTCCAACCTCAATCAGTTGGAGCGAGGCCAGAGCGTAAAACTTGACACACAGAACTGTCAGTGAACAGAGTTGCAAAAGAGTGCTTACTTTTGGCATGCAGAAGCTTGTAACTGAACGAAAACCTTAAAGCGCATGATTGAAGAACATCATACATGAAACTGCTTCCTTTTTTACCTAACAGGTCCGGCATCATTGTTTCTTTCTGACATTATGGTGATGTTCTTTTCGAGTTCACTTCCCTCGATAAAAACATCTACATTGTAAATTGGCAAGAGGCTTGTGGAAATCAAACTTTCGTAAATGTCATATGCTGACATGCTCAAAACGAAGCCCTGAAAATCGAGCATATAGAAGCACGCTTTAAAAATCCGTCGAAAATAAAATCTATACCTGCCAGGTACCGTTGTACGCAAACGCTTGCGGATTGTGCCATTCGCCATACAATTTTTCGGGTGAAAAGTTGACCATATTACTGGCAGTAGTCAGTTGTTCCAAACGTTTGACTACACCGGTGCCCGGTTGATACGGAAGTCTTATCAGTAATAAACAACAGTGCTAATTAATTGGATTAAATTTCATTTTTTCAGCGCTTCTTACGGTGTAAACTTTATTGTCATACCAATATTACACGGTCGCAACTGGCCGAGAACATTACTGCAGTGATCGCCATTGTTTAACGTTCCTTTCGGATTGTCGAAGGTGATGAGCAAAATCGATATAGTTAGTTTATCATTTGGATTTGAAAGTTCATCCTGTGGAACTATAACAGATGCCTATGCAAAAGAAATTAAAAATAAATTTATTTGGACTCACATTTGCTCTGATACTTGTATGCACTTGAGACCTGAAATGGAAACATGATGGAATTTCAGGCAGCACAAGCATGACGTACAGAAATGAAATCATTCTGTTTATCAGGTTAAATTATAACTTAGCTGACTAATATCGCTTCTTTAACAGAACCGTTTAAGGTATTTCTTTTACGTTGATGCTGATGGCTTTCAGACATGTATGCTGCAATTCATATATGTATTTCATGTATGCTGAGAATAACAACACTCTACACTTGGCAAGCTAATTAACGTGTAGCTGCTGGAAGTTCACATGTGCAAAACAGGGAACGGCGTCACTTAATGAACCAAGACCTACCTGTTAGCTAAAGATGAGAGGTGAACGTGAAGAAGCTTGAGGGACTAGTAATAACAAAGCATCTGGGAAGAAAACGAAGCTTTCCCAGAGTCATGTCAAAGAGCAATGCGAAACCGCTGTGCCGAGATTGTGCCGCTTGCGACACAGGAAGGACAACCCATGATGGACACAGGGCAACGTCAGTTGTGACAGGAAAGTACTTAACTGGTAGCATGAGCTTAAAGCTTGTCTTCCGACTCCAAACTTACGAACTGCTGCAAACGACCAGAAACTCACTCATCTTTTTACCTTGAAGTAGGCTTGTGAGGCAAGGGCTAGAATGTCTGCATTGGTTAATCATCAGATTGACCAAATTGTTTGTGTTGTGCATAATTAAACCTTGTCTTGTGCTGTTTTCATTGTTAAGCTCTAAGGTTATGATTCAAATACATGATAAATTATATCTGTTCCCGCTTGTTTTAAACTTTTCACGGACGCTTCACTAAGGTTACAAAATGCGAAGAGTGCATCATGAAAGTTCGTCATCAAACTTTGATAACCAGTGAAACTTTAGCAACGAGATGCATGAGTTTGAATCACTAGACGTCTGCTAGCTCTATGTCCATTTCTTTCTGTGATTGAAAATGGCTGGTCATCTGCAACGCCTCGTGCAATCAGAAGAAGGAAACCCCATATTGATCAGATTGCAGAACAAAACTCCTAAAAATTAAATGTCTTTCAAAATCCCATCCAATCGTAGACATGAATTCTTTCCGTACTGTCGAAGAGACTCTTCTTGTGTTTTCCTTCATTACTTAAAGTGCCAGAAGTGAATACATCATTCACCGAGGATGTGCTCATACACAGATCGAACATACTTATTTACAGTTTACTACTACAAGCAAATGGTCGTACTGTTTACCTGTGCTCCAAGAACTGCGACAAAAGCCATCGTCATGGCTAGCTGCTGATTGTTGCTATGCCTCTTCATCCTCTGGACTCAGTAATGCAGCAGACTCCGGGCAACTGGCTAAATACAGTGCAAAATAATGCGTTTCTCTACAGCTTATGTTATCGCCGTGCAGATACTTACGGTAAATATTGTTCAGAGAATACTGTGGAAAAATCTTAGCACGTGACTGTGATTAAATAGCATTTTGGGAAATCTGGGTTGGGCAAGCCGATTAAAACGAAAGTAGAATAGCAGTTGTGACAATGCGTGGTTTCGCAGAAGGACCATAATGGCTAAAAATTAGCACAGACATTTCGCACTATTTATCGAATTTGACAAGTTGCGCGACAGAAATGAGTTAAATTTCATTCTTATCACTTTTGACTACACCATCCGAAATAATGCTATGTTCAGCGTTATAAAAATATATTTCTTCATCATTCAGTTCTTGTATAGTTTGCTTATATAAAATTAACAGTTAAGTTTGCCAATATTAGAGATATGAATGATGTGAGCAGTATTAAAAATAAGGTCCACCTTCTCAAACTGACCGCATATCTGATCATTTCAGTTTTACTTTTCTTTTTTATTCCATTTGGCGGAGCCATCCAGCTTCCGTTTGAACTTCTCCGCTCCTCGATCCTCAGCTTTCGTCATCGTTAGGCACAGCGACACTCGTTTGCACAAAAGCTATATTTACTATGAAAGAGCAGCAGCGAAGCTCCGCCGTTGCCGGTCCCACGACCGGATGAGAAAGTAGGAGAGTTGGACACCGTGGCAAGTTTCCGTAAAATTTAGCCACCTGAGACTCATGTATTGACGCCATCGAAAATCCTACCGTCTCGGTCGTCACCCGGATTACCAAGGGCTGCGCAGACTGTTGGGTGACTGAGGCAGACTGCGAAAAGTCGGCGATCAGAACCTGCTCATGGACCTCTGCCAGCCGGGGGCGTGGCAGCACAACGACGGCTGACGAAGACGGACGCAACGACGACGAAGATACCAGTCAGCAACG